AATGAAGTGTTGAACAAACGATTTAATGAGGTGTTTTCAGTGAAAACTGGAGCTATACAAGAGACCATAAGAATGAGTGTACTCCAACAGATACTGGACACCATAAACTGCAGTAGAAAAGGTTAGAAATTTTTTGACTGAATCAAAGATAATTAATTGGACCTGGCAAAGTGTTACTATGGATTATGCGATTCTGTCTCCATCACAGCTCGCCTGGAGGTGGGTGTTTGAGTGGCTGCCACGCTTGCAGAGGCTGGAGCTTGTATAGATATTGCCACGGGTTCTGGATGCAAATGATCATGAGGTTCTGAGTCGACTAACATATGACGAGGAACTTAGGTATACGCCTCATTAACATGAAGACTGATAAAGCCCATATGTGAATGATCTGGGGGCGGATGGTGGTCAGTCGGTGTAGATCTATGTTGGCTTTGTTCTGAATTAATAGCAAATTAATTCGTTTATACAACTGGATGCTGGCTAGTCACCACCACCACTGTGTCTGTCTTGCTCTGAAGTGAAGAGGATTGGACGGTAATCGGGACTGACGCTCTGTTGCACTCCAGTGAGCTGACTACAGGTTGATGAAGAGCCATATGAATTTGCTATGGCATTTCTTCCCATACTGTATTTCGATTACTCAGTATGGCTTGCGGGTTAGACAGGTGGCATCTATGATACCCACTCTGAGCAACATGGTGTACCTTTCAGCTACTTGTGGACAGTATGCTGCTGTTGTGGACTTTAATTTTGTGGATGCATTTGGGAAAGGAGCTCTTTTTTATACTCCAACATTTCGGCTTGAGGGATTGAGTAATTGATTCGATTTGGATGTTGTATGCTGGCAGCACGAGCAGGATGTTGCTGACTGGCATTTACATCATGTGTTTCGAATGGAGTGTGCACTCGTGTAGGAATAGCAAATGCTGGATGTTTCTTTATGCGAAGGTGCAAAAATCTTTTCTCGTTCTTGCGTTTTGCCATGGATGTTTCTCACCTGCTGGCTAGTAATCGGTCGTTCCTGAAGGTCCCTGTGTATGTTGATAACTTGCTTCGTCGTCTTCTCCAGAGTGCCAGGGGTCTTCGGTGAGAATTTAGAGCATTTTTCCAGTTATGTCCGGGCAGTTAGTCAGTATCTAAATATGAGGAAATGAACTATTCTCTAAATGGGATTTATAGGGGAACGAGCTCCTCGGCCTTTCCTGAGGAAGAGTGGTGTTGCGAATGCCTTCACTGTGGTCGGCTTGATTTTTGGAAAAAACGTATGCTGGGGAGTCTAGAGGGGGACCTGCAAACTTGTGGCTGCTGAGGGGAAGGAGGAAAGATATCATAGCGAGTTCTCATAATGAATGCCTTGGTGTTTGCTGATGCGAGGCACATCAGTAGCTATTTTCTGATGTTGCTGGAGGTAAATTGCCTGGTGAATGTGTTGGTGTATAATAATGTGTGAAGTTCCTACTTCGATCACCTTTTTTGGAAGGCGTTTTGTTTCACCCGCTTTCCTGGGGTGGCCTTTGTTGGCTGGACTCAGCTCTTTTGTCTGGGTGTACTTTTCTGAAGCGACTGCTTGTAGGATATGCTCACTTCATTAGAGACCATCTGAATGTTCTGCAGTTGGATATGCTGAATGTTGAAGACAGAGTAAAACAACTGAAGCTAAATCATGTTTATAAAATTGCTCACAAACAATGTCCAGAATATCTTGCTGTCAATTTTGTCAAGGTTGGGAACCAAAGCAATCATAGTACTAGGGGGAGAGAGCACAACTTTGTAGTACCCACAGTCAGTGGCCAGGCTTCAAACACCTTTTATTGTACAGTAATAAAGGGAATGGAACAGACTGCCCGCACAGGGTCAAAGCCAGTCATAGCACGAACCAGCTAAGAAGACTGCCCAAAAGGGGGTCTGATGAATTTTAGCTACAGAAAGGGACGGGAATGGGTTTTCTATTTTTTTAGCTAACATACGTGTAAATTTTACCATTTCCTAGTAATGACCTCGTATTGTAGATAGTCTTAATGACCTGGTGTAGTAGATAGTCTTTTTAGTATGATAATAAGATGTTATCTTCATTGTAGAATAATATGAAAATATTATAACCTTTATATTATAATAATAAGGTAAAAGGATCCCATTGGAAATAAGTCACTCTGTCTGACTTTTTTGGGTTATCCTAGGTTCTCTACACATATGCTGCTATGTATGATAATTCTATGTAACTGTATTTGTGTATACCTGAATAAACTTACTTATTTACTTACTTACTTACTTATAAATCTATATGACGATCTTTTGTGGTGCCGCAGGATTCACATAATCTGCGCTTTTCTGTACGCTGCTGCTACTAAGATTACTCGTTGATGCTGATGATTCAGGTGTTCTAATTTAGCTTTCTTCTAGTAATTTGTACGAGGATTTGCGCCCTCTTTCTACTGGTGAATTTTTTTATCTACATGCTCATAGAACCTCGCTTTTACACTGGATGCTGGTGTACAGAAGTGTACGTATATGGCGGAGACAGTGAGTTGTTTTAACTCAGTATTACACACATGAATAAAAAAACATGGGCAACACGTGGTAAACTTTACCGCGTGAACGGTATGTCACAAGTGGCTTTATCAGTCAGTCAAAGTGGCTTTATCAGTCAGTCAACAAGTGGCTTTATCAGTCAGTCAACAAGTGGCTTTATCAGTCAGTCAACAAGTGGCTTTATCAGTCAACAAGTGGCTTTATCAGTCAATTTCAAAGAATAATCCTGGAGTAGTAGTGAAATAGTTGTGAGTATCTTAAGGTTTCAGTCCCCCATCCTTAATAGAAAATGTTTTTTATAAAAGTCTTGGTGAATCAGTTGGAAACATTGAAAGATTGAAAAGTACTTTAAGGGAATTAGTCGATCATCATTAATAGGAGTTCAGAAAATTACTTTTAATGAATCTCATCATTAATATAAAAATACCTAGATATAAAATGGATACTAAACAATTTATGGGATCCTCCATTATTTGGGGGATCCTTTCATGTTCTTTTTCGTAGATATTTAATTATAGCAGAAGTGTAGCTACGAGTACCGCAGTGTTAATTTAGGGCTGAATAAGGGGGGGTGGTGATGTGGCTATATCAAGGAACTCACCTGAAGTATGAATTCGATGAGGAGCGTAGTGATGAGAAGCCATCTACCGAAATGGAGGGACAACGCTGTTCACAGGGGTTTTCTCTGTGCTGACGAGGCCTCGTTTATCGTGTTTATGGTGGAGGGAGTGCCTGCCTTGCACTAGGCCGACACATGCCACCACAGCCTCGCCAGAGCGGTACACATAGGACGGGCGTGTGACTGTTCATCCTGGTATATGAGAACAGTGGAATTAAGGGGCTGCTGTAGTTGCAGAACTTTAGTGGAGTGGGGTAGATACCTTGTGAGGATGACACTAAGCCCTTCGAAGTATTGATTTTTAATTAAAATAATGAAGTACTAATAGATGAGTATACAGTCACACACACACACACACACACACACACACACACACACACACACACACACACACACACACACACAGGCGCGCGCTGTGTATACTATCAATAACAATCCTCAATACATTTATCGAAACAGGGCAACTACCTGATGTGTGGAAAACAGCAAATGTAGTCCCTTTTCTTCAAGAAAGGAGACAGGCAGGTAATTAAGCTACAGACCAGTGTCACTGATATATATGCTATACAAAGTCATGGAGAAGATTACCAGAAGAGTGGTGGAGCACCTAGAAAGGAATGAGCTTATTTACGACATCCTGCACGGTTTCAGACACGAGAAATCTTGTGTCACAAAATCTCTTCGAGTTTTATGAAAAGCTGTAGCGGCAAGGCAAGAGAGATAGAGAGGGGTGGGTAGATTGCATTTTTCCTGGATCTAAAAAGGCTTCTGACACAGTTCCCCACAAGAGATTAGTACAAAAGTTGGAGGAGCAGGCAGGTATAATAAGGAAGGCATTGCAGTGGATCGGGGAATACCTTAACAGGAAACAGCAAGTCATGGTTAGTGACAAGGTGTCAGATGGCGCCTGTGACGAGCGGGTTCCTAAGGGTTGGTCCTAGGACCTGTGCTGTTTCTGGTAATATGAATAGCATGACGGAAGGGAAAGACTCAGAAGTGTCCCTGTTTGCAGACGATGTGAAGTAATGAGGAAAATTCAATGGACAAGGATCAGGGCAAAAACTACAATGGGACCACAACTGAAAGCTGAAAACTCAGATGAGTCACAAGGATGTTAGGGAAGTATTTCTTCCGCCATAAGTTGTTAGAAAGTGGAACAGTCTGGAGAGTGATACAGTGGGAGGCAGGATCCATACATAGCTTTAAGATGAGGTATGACGAAGCTCTTAGTGCAGGGAGAGAATGGACCTAGTGGAAACCAGTGAAAGCGGGGCCAGGAGCTGTAAATCGACCCCCGCAGCTACAATTTGGTGAGTACACACACCCCACACACGCCAACACACACATTTTCCACAGGACACATTTTTAAGGATGATTAAAATTCTTCCATTAATTTTTATTCATGAAGCTGTGTTTTCTTCTGTTTGCTCCCCCTATGCTACACCTAATACTTTTTTTATTAAACTCCTACATTTTTTTCTGATTCAAATATTTTTTATTCAAATATTTTTCTTGAACATTAGTAAATAAAATATTGAAATAAAAAGTAATAAATATATGGCTACACAATACATGCCAACTAATTATAAAACAAATGTATTAGGAGTAGTCTTGTTTAACAAACATAAGAAAATAAAAATGGAGGAACACTGCAGCATGTCAACTGTTAATAAAAAAAGCAGCATGTATACAAAATAAAGCAAATAAAACATTCATAAGAGGGGTTGTAAAAGATTTTGTGTATTACCTTTAAAAATAGTCTCGAATTTTAAAAATTCTCTGTCACTGCTGGTACCTAATCCTCTCAACAGATGGCAATGTGTACATGTTATTAAGCATAGACACCCACAACGTCGAGGGTAACTGTTGCTAAAAGTCTTGTCTCGTGTGCTTGTTACAAGTTACGAAACTAGAGAGGTTAGGCTACTTCACCAGTCAAGGCTTCGCTTGTGAACGAGCACGAGGAACTTTATACATCTCTCCAGTGTATATTTAAATTCATGGTATGTAGACTATTTATTACTTCTTCTTTACCCTGTTTTATTCACTTATTTTTCTAATTTTATCAACATGGAGAATTTTTATATATAAGCTTTTCACATTTAACTTACATTTTGTTTTGTTTTTTTGTTTGTTTATATTGCTCAATAAGCACACATTTATCTCTTTAAATTTATAGAGCTGCATATAAAGGGAGGGGGGGGGGAGAGGCAGAAGGGTTTGTAGTAATATATTCCGTTAAATTGTACCTAAGTTGCCTTCAGCTCTGTCTTAAAGATTGCCTAGTAATCTGTATTAACTCTTGAAAATACTGTTGCTGTTCATCTACTACATAGGCCTCTCCTGGCTCTACCATTTTATGGTCGTACATCTTGCATTTGGCACAACTGAAATGAACGTAAAAGATTTCCCTGCTGTAGGGAACGTGCTAATAAAATAACCTTCATAAGTAATACTTTTATGCAAGTTCTTTTCCTTTTGACTTAAATTTCGTGTAAAAATAGTTCACTCGACTCTGCCTTAATGTCTAGATAATGTTTAATATCCCGTGCTGTAGTCTGTGGTCTTTAAGTGACGTTGTGCCCTTGAATTTTCGGTTGTGGTAATCGGTGTCAACAGCAGAGAAATTTAAATATTATTGGCTTTATCTTGTGGAATAAAACGCATAAAAAGCTAATAGTTTTGAGTAGTCTCTTTACCTGGGTTGGTAGTTTGATAGGGAACTATTAAATTCGTACCATTTTGTGATCTAGGAAAGTTCTTATCTCATGAAGGTGATTAAACTGAAAGTACTCTTTATTCACCATTCCGTCTGAGATTTCATATTTAGATAATTTTTTTTAAAAAGTCCTCCAGCCGCTACCAGAGTCCATCCAGTTAGGATCTACCTCGTGATACTTAAATTTTATGAAGTTTAAGTAAAGTTAATCTTTCTGGTCCTGTCATTACTTTCACAACTGCAGACTCGTAACTTCATACTTCAGCGTTAAATTGCCTCTTGATCGTAAATTACATTTGATCCTAAATCCATAATCGTACAAGTTTGACAAGTGTTCGTTCAACGCGTTCATTCCCTTCCTCCCATAACTGACTTTTAGCTTCTACATAATTATGCACTAGTCCTATTATATATAAATTGGGTTAAAGCTCCTTAATGTCACCTATCGATGGTTTCCCCAATTAAATTTCTTGCTCGGAACAGTTTAACACAAACTATTGCACTTGGAAGGCTTCTAAGCTTCTGTTATGTACGATATCTGAACTAGTTATTTACTAGTACGCCGGTGCCTACAGTCTCCAATATACTAAGCAGAATTCTTTCGTACCCACAAATGTGCCACCTGCCAATATTTAACCTCTGCACAACTGTCTTCCATCTTTTCATATACTTAAAATCTATGGCGAGCAGGGCCGACACAATGAATCATCGTACCTACGCGGGAAATGCTCATCTCCAGCGTACTAGTACGCCTTGTTAGGAAAAATAAACTCAGGAACCATTAGCAGACGTTCCGCCACAAATTTCATTACCATGGAGCAGGATTTGCCAGTGACTCGAATGATTTCAAACCAAATTTATTAGTTTTATAAGTAATTCAGCTATAAATCGCACTTGAGTAAATTGAACCCGGTGCAGTCACTGTAAATTTGTTTTAATTATTCCCTGAAATGTTAAATATTCATTTTACATAAACTTGGACCAAATAATAAATCTTAACGTCGGCAGTTTCCCACCGAAGCAGGTTGACCCAAGAAACTTTCCTCGTTAAACACTTCAGTCAATCTTATATAATAAATTTACATGTCACTCCAAACAGCCAATATCCCTAACCCCCTCCTGTGAAGTGCAGCCATTGTACTTCCCATCTCCAGGACTCTAGTCCGATTAACAGATTTCTTCGACTCCCTTCACAAAATATTACCCTACTCGCACAGCACGTCAGTTCCCAAAAACCATTAGTCTCCATTCACTCGCATCTAACGGCTCACTCACACTCGCTGGAAGTTAGTCCCTCGCCAACCAAACCTCTTTCACCCCCGTCCCTCACTTTCCTGGCGGGACCCCTACCCTGCCTTCCTTCCACTATAGATTTACTCATTCTACTTCGTTCCTTCCTCTCTGAATGACTAAACCCCCTAAAAAAACCCTCTTCATCCCCCAGACTAATAGTTTAACTCCACACCATCTAATTTCTACACTACAAATTCTCTACATATTTACCTTTACACATCTCCACTGCCTCCAGCCTCTGCCTTACTAAAACATTCGCAACCCATGCATTTTACTACATACATAATTTCAAAGTAAAGCAATGTCTGGCAAGAATTTCTCCATGATTGTTAATAAAACCTTTTAAACTCCTAATATAAAACCATAGTATTAAACTAGTATTGATGAAAGAATCTTAGTCTTTGTATCAGTAAACTTCAAAATATCACTGGCGCAGTAACGCCGCTGTTGCCTAGTTAATTTTCTCGCACTTCATAACTGTTACCTTATTCCACTCACTTTAGTCTTAAATTCAAAAAAATTAACTAATTTCTCACCTCCACCCCCCCCTCCCTTCCTACCTGTTTTTTTTCCCCCCACTTGCCACACCTAAGGGCTTAATAGTTAAACTATATATACAGATTAAAACCTTTTAACGCTGTACGCTTAAAATTACTTGTGCTCTAATTTTAGTTCAGTTCCGTAAGTTTGCTTTACCAACACCCCTCCCTCGCTCTGCACCCCCCTCAGTATCGGCAGCAATTCCTGCTAATTCCCCCCCCCCCCCGAAACAAAAAGCAAACTGTGCATATTAATAAAAAGCCAAGTATATAACTGCTAGTCTTTCATATTTCTATTTGCGACTCCTGTCGCATTAATTATAGCACTAGTTACTTCTGCTCTTCTGAACCAGTAACTTTTGACGTTTCTAAAGATTTTAACATTTAGATGCAGATAACAGAAGTTACGTTGATCTTCCTGGTACTTCCATTCATGGCGGCAACACTGGCAGTGAACTCCACCCTTGATACACCTGATCATGGAATTCTGCCTAATCACACGAGCCCAATGTCTAAAGTAGCAGAGCCAAATACTACAGTTGAAGGAAGACAGCTCTTCGAAGCCTTAAGCAGGCCGTCTCTACCCCTCTTGACGTAAGTTTTGATTTTCTGACAATATTATACTTAAAGTATATGGTACACAGAATGGTAAACCTGGCTAGTTTGACCCTGAACTCTGTACGAAAGTAATTACCCACATTGTTTACACAGCCGAATTGTAGCCTTCAGTGCGAGGAAAGCTACGGGAAGACTCCATGCATTCACCCACATCCACTTCCGTGTAAGCATAACATTTTAAATCTTTCTACAGCAGAATCATAATGGCAAAGCTTTCTAATATTGCTAAACATTGTTCTAATCTACTGAATTATTGAACGTACAAATTAATGGAAAGAGATTTAGTAATTTAAACTCTTGCTTAGCCGTGAAAATTTCTGCTACAGGATGTCTTGACAAATGTTGGTGGCGGCTGGGACCACGCTACCAGCGAGTTCGTAGCTCCTTACAACGGTGGCTACTACTTCAGTTTTCATGCTGTCGGCGCCAGGAACAGTGATTTCACGTAAGAGCTGTTTATGAAGTTTTAAATCTGCTCATTATTGTCTAATTTACTTTAACCTTCAAAATTTTCCAGAATTGGTTTGACGAGGAACGGAGTTTATCAAGTGACTGCCTACGGCACTGAGCCAAGCTTTGAACATGGGTCTAATTCAGTGTTTCTGCAACTGCGTCGTTTAGACAGGATATCCCTGGATCTGCAACAAGGTAGCATCTATGAACACCCTGGTGACGAAGCTTATACCACTTTCAGTGGGTTTCTATTGTTTTCATTATAAAATCTTTCACGAATTATAATAAAACTGTTTAGTATTCTATGAAGATTGAATATTTAATTTACTAGAAAGTTTCCTTAAGAAAATTCCTTGGTAGAAATTCTCCATTGTTGCAACCTAGTACTTGATAGGCACGAAAGGTTCCTGTCCATACGACCCTAGTGAGTAAACAGTTTCCTTATTAAAATTAAAACCTGGTTTCCCTAAAAGCCCTATTCTCGCCATTTGAAAGCTTGTATGGAAAGCTTTAACTGGTGGGTTTAGCGCCTTAACCCCTCCTTCACTTATCCTTTCCAAACCTTTCTTTTCTAGTCTGTGCCTAATTCTTTGCCTCTTATTGTTGCAAAGTGGAGGTTCATCCTCCCCCTCGTACATTACCCTCTTGTGTCCCATCCCAAGTTTCTTCAAAGGTTAATTTCTAACCTCTCATCACCCCCTTGGATAGTAATTTCCATTGTCTATCTTAACAAGCCCTCTCCGTTCTGATAACGTACTACCTGTTCATACTTTGTTGTATTACACTGCAGCCCACATCTCTTCTGTTAGATTTTAATGTTCATCCTTTCCTCTAGGGAAAGGGGATCACACTGTGACAGTCTTTCGAGTTAGAGGTCAGTCTCGATGGTCATCTCGTCCATGTTTTAAATACGGGTACTCCCACCCATTTTCACCCTCTAACTGAATTGATCCTAGACTGCACTTGACCTGGTCTGTGCTCCCATATTTGAAAGTCTGCGATAATTTTCCTACTTGTTACTTATTCCAATTCTCTTCCTCGAGGCCCACGTTGGCAATTTGAATAGGCGAATTGGGACCCATACTAGTTACTATTTTCAGTGAGTAATCTTTACTGATAAGCGGTTATACTTATTTTGGTACTTTTAATTGCGGCTTCATTTTCTCTTGCCTCGAGCAGGAACTCTCAGAAATGCATGCCTTCAGGGTTTGTGTTCGCTCAGTACGTTTGAAACTTTTTGCATGGGGCCGATATTAAAAATGAGCGGTTGCCCGACGTCATTCGCGAAGCTAAACGCACTTTGTGGGAGGGGGTACGTTTGTCCTTATTCTGACTTCCACAGAGTGCAGTTGGGAATAAAATACGGAAATAGTCCTGTACTCTAGACCCGGCTCCGTTCTTCGGGTTGCCGGTGTTGGCAAGGTTCCCAGATATTGGAAATTTTCTCCGTACCTTTAAAGAGCTCCATTTATGCTCCTAGTTTTTTCCTCCAAGCCTGCAAGAGGGTTACTGCTTAGACTTCTAGCAGAGAAGAATCTTGTGCCTTACACTCTTTTGAACTAGTCAGCACTGCCGCTCGTCAGCAGCTGGACCTGATGGCATTCTTATTCATATGCTTCAGCATTTAGCCTTTGCAATTCTCGCGAGTCTTTTTAATCTTGGTTTGGTTAAAAGTTCTCCAGCTTTGGAAAACTGCAGTTCTGCCTTTTCGTAGACAAGGTACTAAGTGAGAGGCATCATGGCCTCGGTCCCATTGCTCTTAACAGTACAACTTGAAAGTTTGTGGAACATCTTGTAATTATGTTTGGACAGTATTTACACACACCGGCCTCTCCACTAGTCAATTTGGCTTTCATAGGAGCAGCTCTGCTATTGACCTCTTACCTTGAAAAGGTACGACGCCACCAGATGTAACATCTTTGTCCAAATTCATTCCTTAGGCCTCCAAGGCAATCTGCCACTTTTCCTTTAACTTAAGACATTCCATGTTTGGGTTCATGATTCACTTTCCTCGCTGTCCAAGCAGGTATTGTGCACGGGTGTGTACCTAGAAGCGCTCATTTTCTAAAATCTCTAAGTGTCCTGTTCTCCCATTTAATATTTGATCATTTTGTCAGACTTTGCTATAGCCTTTGCATTGTCGCCTAGTGTCAGGCTTATTCCAGAATTGTGTAGTTTCTATCTTGCCAATATGTACGGGATTAAGCTGGTGCTGAAATGCGCCAAATTTTTCAGTTGTCTGATACTAGATTGTACCTGTATGGCTTTAAGTAATATGGTCGAATTTCTCGGCATCTAGTTTGATTTCCGGCTATTCTGGAAACCTCGCATTGCCTCCCTGTAAGCAACTTTCCATAGACTGAACATCCTTAATCCTCTCAAAGTTCTCGAGGGAGGATCGTCGCACTCTTCGACTGCATTCGACCCTAATTTTATGGGAACTAGCCTATGGCGACCAGATATTATGTAGCCTCTCCTGCCACTCTAGGCTCGATCACATCATTGTTTGCCTAGATGCTTTTCGTTTCTCTCTTGTCGAGAGCCTATATAGAGGAGAATGTTCTGTCCTTGAAATATTGCCGTGATACCGATTGCCTCTGTTATTGTCCACTCGTATGGCCTTCACGATCTTTATACATACAGGACAGTAACTGACGTAAGTACAGACCCATTATTTGTTCACTGCCTCTGTTTACTCTGCCCCTTTTCTTTCTTTACTCGCTCTTGACTTGTCTTCAGTTACCCACCCCCTTGACGTGTTCATCTAGCATCAAACTGATATTTTTTGTCCCCTGTGAGGTACTGACAGTTCCTGTTCTTCCCCTACTGTCTTGTGCAAAAACTAAAATGTCTACAGATGCCTCTTCAACACTTTCGGTCGCATTCTAGTTCAGTTGCAGTTTGTACTTATGGTTCTATAACCTCTGGTGTAGTTTCCAGCATTGTTCCCTTGCAGTCAAGTCATTTATTAAATTCGGTTTGATAGTTTCGGACTCTTCTAGTGCTTTGCAAGTTATCAAATTTAATTCGCCACGTACCCTACTTCATATAAAACTCTGGTTGTGCCGCATTTCTATCAAAAAAAAAAAAAAAAAAAAAAAAAAAAAAAATAGCAGGTATATTCTTCTGCGTGGTTAGTGGTAAATGACTTGGTTTTATATTGAGGTATTCCATTCTCTTACTATTTTGCTCTAATCTCGAGCCATCTTCTCACCTGTTGGCAACGTTAGTCTGAGTTGATTCATAACATGTTACATTATCAGACGAGGATCCTGGTCTTTTCATCAACAATGTCGTGGTTGGGAGATTACTTCCCCCCTTTACATTGGGTGTACACTTCTTATTCATGGGCATCTCGTGGAGAAATGACCTGTTTCAATGAGGATTGTAAAGTTGTAACTTCAGAATTTCCCTCTGTTGTCACCACTTTTAATTATCACCATGCCGACAGCCTGACCTTGGACACAAATGCCCTCTTTGACTTTTTGACAGTAACGGATTTTACACTTTTGATTATACTTATAGCACTCCTCACCGCCCTTACGAACACTCCGCTAGTCTCAGATCAAGCATTTTTAATCCGTTAACACACCATACCCCTGCAGCGTACATAACCCACCCAAGAGTTGTCTGCAATGCAGCACCTCAAGGGGGCTCCTTGAAGCAGTGAAGAGGTTCCCCCCCCCCCCTTCTCTCCTGAAGAATTTGACCTTGTTCTTCCTCGGTGAACCTAGTAACCTAGGAGCCGGGTAGGCGAGCTTATGTGCTTCGGGTGACTGATGTATCTCTGGAAGTTAACCCTCTTCAAGGGGGGCTCCTTGGCGTGGTGAAGAGGCTCTTGGTCTGAGGAATTAGACCTGTCGGTCTTCTTCCTCAGACCGAACCTAATTACCCCCCAATCACCCCTCCCCAGTCCCATCCTCCCCTTTTTCCTTTCCTCCTCCTCCTCCCCACCCCTCCCTTTTGCCCTTCCTCTTTTTGGCCTTTGGGATTGCTCCCACAGGCGTGCTAGTTCCTAGGTAGGGGAAAGGATACCGGGGTCTATCCCATTCCGTTGAGGTTCTTGGCGGTGGCGTAGTTTGCCGTGGATCTGGATCGCCTGGGGATGTCCCGATCCCTCCGGTATCCCGGAGTAGCTTTGGGTGTCTTTCGAGCGAGGGGTGTATCTCTGGAAGCCCCCTTTCGGATTCCGGGGGTGGTGGCCGAAGGAGGTATGTTTTTGTGGGGGATATCCGGCCCCCTCTCTTGCCCACCAAGGTGCCCGGCAGATTGTGAGGTTGCTTTTCCGGATTGTTAGTTTACTAGCATGATGGGTTTAGGGTATGGCACGGGTTCCATGCTGCATCTGCACTACTTGCGGTGCTGAGGGAGATTTCTGGCCCTTTCATTCCTCCTAGGAACTATCCCTCCCCGGTCCCCCCTTTTTTTTATTTTTTTTATTTTTTCTTAAAAACAGAAAAAGGTAACCTAACCATGGCAGCCCTAGTCAATGAACCTACTACCCCCGGGCCCCTTCTTGATACCGCACCCCGTTCTGACCCCGCCTCGTCTTTGGACCACTCTTCAGACACTCCTCATGCCTCTGTACCTATTGGCGGTGCTGACTCCTTTGATTTATCGGACCTTCGCTCTCCTATGACTATGCTTCCGGCCTCTCCCTCTACGGTGCGACAATTTTCAAATCTCCGACCCATTCCATGTTGGACCAACTCTGGTCCCACGCCTAAACGCCAACGACAATTACCTGCTGATGATACTTCTCCACCTTCTCGTTCTTCTCAAACGATCGACACGTCCTTCACTACCTTTCCACGCTCAGTTTCAGACTGAACAATGGACTAAATTCTTCACTTTACTACAGACTTCCTCTACTGCATATCTTTCTGACCACAGTATTGGCAAGGCACTCCTACGCCATGTTGGTAAAGATTTCTTTTCTTGCTCTTAAGAGCGGTACGCGCATCATTACCGTACAGAATGCTACCCAGGCTCATGAGCTCTCTCGTCTTTCCCATATCGATACTGTTCAAGTCACTCTTGAAAAACATCATTCCCTCAATTCTTGTAGTGGTACCGTCATTCTGCCCCATACCATAGTTCAACAAAATTTCCAGACATGTGGCACTGACATTCTTGAACAGCTGGAACTCAAAGATCTCCCAATCCTCAAGGTAGGCACTTAAGTTCTTCCTGCCCGCGGGCAGAGACGATACCCTAGCAATGTGGCTTGTTTAACTTTTGACAGCCGAGAACTCCCATCCTCAGTTATATAGCAGGACATCGGTTTACAGTTCGAAAGGTGATCCCTACACCACAACCAGTGTAGA